GGTGTCGGGTGCGTGAGCTGCGCTGCTTGGGTCGGCCAAGGCCAAGCAGGGAGTTCCAGAGTGTAACTAACTGCTTGTCACGCGTGTCTTCAGCGTGGCGCCGTATGAACATGCGGTATCGCGGCTAGGTTTGTGCGGTCTCGGTGAGGTAACATATAGGTTATGGTAAGTGTGGTAAGGTCACAACTCCCATCAGGAAGCAATATCCTTTAAAGGGCATCCTCATCATGCTTATCGGGCTCAGATTACTAGTTACTAGTAATGTTACTAGTTTCACTACAGATTTGTAATTACTCTAACATAAAGCTGAGTTAAAACTTCTTTTCTCTTGGAGTTTAGTCGTTTACAACACTCCTTTCAGGCTTTGGTAAGTTTAGTTACTTTCCTGGCTGTTTGTATGGCTCTTTGCCGTACAGACAGTGCTTGCATATTTTTAATATCCAAAGGTACAAATTGTTATTAATTGTTTCTTTTTTTACAGAAAGATTGACAGCCACTTCTGAACAGAAAGTATTTCCAAATCTTCCCAGGGCAAAAGCATTTATTCACTTGTGCCAACTGGAGACTGTGTTTTAGTGGAATTTGGTGTTGATGACCTAGCATTGCCCGACAGACCTCACCTTTCAGTTTCTGACTTCTCTGCCCTGTAGATTTTCCAAGTTTAGTCACCATAAGAGAAGATTGTTTGCATATGGATATATTGCAGGATCAGGGTAGCTAAACAAGAATGTGAGAAATTAAATTAAGCCCTTAATGACAAATAGCTTTAAAAATTCTATTTTGTGTTCTTTTCATTTGGCTCATAAGCCTTGCATCACAGCTTTAAACCTTTCGTCCTCAGCAGAAGAACTAGCAAGTCAAGTCAGATTCCTTTGGATATTTATGGATCTTACTTTTGCTTGAAGTTCATGAGATTGTTTATATCAGATGTGTGCACCAAGAATTGTAGGACCGTGCCTTTTTTTTCTTTTCCAACAAAAGCCATTTTGTTTTCCTATATTCCTTGGTTCCAAAAAGTAGGGCTTAGTGAAGACAATATGTGCTCCTAAACAGGCATTCCTAATTGCATTGCAATTGGTTGTTATTGATAATCCTGTAGACAGGACAGTGACACTTCAGTATTTGGCCCATACGTTTCTGCACTTTCTTGTGATTAATTGTGAGAGGTCTTGTAGGTAGGACTAATCTCCAAGAGTGTAGAATCTAAGTGAGGTTTAGAGATGGAGTCTACGAAGTAGCAAATTTCCTATACTCTTCTTGAGAATCAGCCCTCTAGGGCTGGGGACCTGTTTTGGGAAAATTAAGTCTTTTTAGAATGTTTTCAGAATTTCTGAGTCTCCACAGGCTGCTAAGTTTCTAAATTTCTTGTTTGGATCCTTCTTTGAATTAAGAGATTCTGATGTTCAAAAACCACCTGTGTTTAATCTTTCCATCTAGAATTTCAGGTCTCCAAATGCTGTAGCTACTTGTACTTAATTTTCTACATTAATCTTCCATGTACCAGCTGATGCTGATTTCTAGGTTACTTTTCTTACAGCATGGGAAGAAGCAAAGAAGCACTTTTTTCCTGTTTTTTTTTTTTTTTTTTTAAAGGAATGTGTTTATCTGCAGTTGGTATATTAAAGCCCAAGAGAATTATTGTGCAAAAATCTGTGGTGGACATAAGATGTATATTCATCTAACCCAAGTCTGACCTCATGCAGAGGTTATGTTAGTACTTCATCCTAGACAGAGCCCTCCTGCCATCGGTCCAGACAGTGGCTGCTCCCTCCCATGCTGGGTTGATGTTGCCTCTCGGTTTGGAGTTCAGGCTGATACAGTCCCTTTTTGCCCACTGGGCTCCTGTGTACTACTGCAATAGTATTTGAGAGCAGCTAAGGGATAATCGAAGTCTGTGGCTCTGTCAATGCTTACAACCAAAGGTCTTCAAGCTCTTGTCAAGCATCTTTCTTACTACGGGCTCATACTTAGCCTTAAATATGAATCAAGAGTCTGGCAACTGACCAGACTGTCTATTGATGCATCCCTGGTTAATATTTGACACAGATTTATCTGATTTCAATTTATCAATATTTGGAAATGCTTCAGAAAAGAATAATTGAGTAGATTGTGGCAAGACACTATATTTCTGAATCTTTTATGATGACTCATTCCAACAGCAATCTTTTACATTTTTCCACTGGCAATTCCAGACTTGCTTTCAAGTACTGATCTATTGATATATGTCATGCTTGTCCCGATCCAGTGTCGGAAGAGGTTTCAATATGATTCTAAGAGCAAGATTAAGACACAAATGAGGTCAAATGCCACATATCCTAAACAACTTTTATTATCAAAAGTAAAAGCTAGTAGCGATAGGATAGATCAGAACAAAGATAGAAATCAAGCAAGCATTCAGGATAGAGTTGCAAGAATAGTCATCACCATGGGTCTGCGGCGTCCCGGGGGTCCAAGTCTTTCGGTGTTTCGGCGGTGGGCGGTAGCAGCAGGGTCAGCAGTGGGCGATGCCTTCCGGGGTCGTCTTGGCAGTCCCTTTTATTCCTGTTCAAGGGCTGTAGTTTCCATGGCAATGTCACGTTGCTACATTCCTGTGCTCAACCGAGTCTTGCACACAGCGCAGCCCCTGCAAACCGGAGGTCTCCATGGCCTTGCAGCCGCTCTTACCGTATTCAGAGCAGTCTTTGAGACAAGTGTTCTACAGTTCAGTCTTTCACACGTGTTCAGAGGATACTTTGCTTAGATAAGTAATCTTTGAGATTAATGTTCCACAGTTCAGTCTTTCACACGTATTCAGAGGATATTTTGCTTAGATAAGACAAATGTTCTAGAGTTCAGTCTCTCACACCACCCTGCGGCTCAAAGGTTGCTTCAGGACCCATGGTGGTTGTGAGAAAAGACAGTTATGTAGAAAAGGCCAGAAAAGAGCATTTCATACAATCTGCACTACTGACAGCGTAGTTTGGCGCACAGCGCAAATTTGTTTGACACTGTCAGGTGAAACAGTAGTCACAAATTGCATATTGGTTACAACACGTTGAATTAACTATATAAAACATGGAATAACACATGGTAAAAACAACATGGCAAAACTACATAACAAATAAAATAAAACTCGCTTAGCCCATGGGCTGCCTGGGAGCCAGGGGAAGGGATCAAATGCCCAACCCTTCCAGGTTTGAACGGGAACATGGGCCAGTTTTTGTATTCCTGCGGTAATTTGTTTTAAAAATTTTGCCACTGTCATCAATTTTTAAACAACAGTTGGAATCATTAAGTTTACCACAAACGCCCCCTTCTTTGGCTAGCAGGTAATCGAGAACCATACGATGTTGGAATATTGCTGTTCGCATTTGGGTGGCCTAGTCTGCTAATAGATCCAGGGCATGGGCCGTCTCGTTAGTAATCTCTAGAACGGCTTGCAACCGAATAATATGATTTAAATTATAGATAGGTTCTCGAGCACCGCTAACCCACTTGTTGGGCACTCTCGTCTTAAGGGATCCTGTCCGTGACGCCAATTTAAATGTCCTGATCCAATGTTGGGGGAGGTTTCGATATTCAGAGCAATCTTTGAGACAAGTGTTCTACAGTTCAGTCTTTCACATGTGTTCAGAGGATACTTTGCTTAGATAAGCAGTCTTTGAGACAAATGTTCTACAGTTCGGTCTCTCACAATGCTAGAAGAGAATCCACCACTGAAACAGGTAGCTGGAATTGAAGAACTCAAAGAAGAGCTAGAACTGTCTGTATTTTTTAAAGCCAGCCATTATTCAATTAAGCTCAGTAACAGACTATTCTCAAGTTAGAAGAGAATTCTTCTTCTGCATTTTGAATAACAGGAAGGATTAAACTTGGCCCAATGCCTTATCTTAGAAAGTGGCTGGAGATGTATGCATGAACCCAAACCACTTAAATACAGGCTCTCGAAGAAGAGGTGAGGTTAAGCAGATAGCTTTGACGAAAGGATTTCAAATGCATGAATGTTATTGGTAAGAAAGTGTTAAGTCAGTCTACAGGAAATACTGGCAGACGTTTGTCTCTAGGAATGAACAGAAAGTCCTTTGACACAGACTAACAATAACTGTCAAACAAAACAACAAACCTTCAATAGGTAAATAATTTTTCTTGTCCTGTGAGACTTCTAGGCAGTACTTGCCTACCAAAAATTAACACTCAGAAAGAGCAGTGGTATATCATTACAGCATATTCTGTGCCTTTGTAATCCCTGTGGGAGATACAGGTAGGGATCAGATGTTAATGCTGCAAAAGATTTTAGTCTGGATATAAATTCATACCTGAGCTGAGCATGTTGTTTGCTCATTAATTTGTACAGATACACCTACCTACTGTATATGCTGTAAACTGAGAAGCAGGGCCACGGGTCTCCATTAACTGTGCTAAAGCAATGGGTTTATATATCCCTTTTTAAAGGGATACACAGCTATGTATGTATGTTTGACTTGATTGTTGTGATCAAAAACACTGTCACTCAGATTCAGTAGTGATATGTGAAATCTGGAGAACTAGCCTTTTACAAGAGTTCTGGGATGTAAAGCATCTCTGATGTTCAGAAATCTGGAACTAGCCCTAACAGACCTCAGGAAAAAAAACTCTTAATTAATGCTTAACTCCAGACACTGGAGTTTTTCACCCAGCTTTCCCCACTTATCAAGTTATCTTTCATCTATTTTCAGATGCTGAGTAGATGCTAAGTAGGTTATTCAGTTTGTAAACAAAGATACATTGAGATGTTTTCCTTGTGTTATAAGTACTTGAGCCATTTTTTTATACTAGGTAATGAATGCTCCTGTTTTTCCTGATACTAGGTTACTTCATCTTCTATATCCAGACTGATTGTTATATATAATATTTACGTTTTTCCTTGCTGTCTTTACTAAAAAAATATTTTCATATTTTTTAAATATTTCATGTGAATTTCTGTGTTTAAACAGTGTTAAACTAGAAACTTTCAAAATAAAGTAAAACTGTAAGTACTCACGGCTAGTTTTTGAATTCCGTTGTATGTTTAAGGATTACTCATGTAAGTGGCTGTGTGTGACTTGAGTATGTCCAACTGCTAAGAAAGGGGTTGTTTACATAAGTAAAGATTTACAGAATATGTCCCAAAACTAGCTGTAGGTGCTGTGGAAGATTATCTAATGCTAACCTTTACTGCAGCTCTAAATCATTTCAGGTAATTAGATTAGCTTTTCAAAATCTGAGAACTTTTCAGTACTTCATGGCTTTCTGGCCAAGGAAAGTATGTTTGGCGCTTAGCCACGTTATGTGTCTAAAAGATGTACCCTTGCCGACGTCATGGAAGGTGTCAGAAGTATTCCAACCCTATATTTACTCCTCAGTGGACTCGCCAGTAGGTAAATTATGTCTTCTGTAAGGATCTTAAGTGTGTCACAAGCTGCGAACACCATTCCCTTTCTCCCGAGGACCAGAACTTAAATCCTTGTTGTTTCCAACTTGGTAAATGTAAATATTCATGAAAACGAGAAACTAACTGTACTGACAAGGTAGGATTTTTGAGGGTATTGAATGAACATATCATTTTTATTCTCACCTTGGTTTTGGCAGGCAGCTCTTCAAAGAGTTGTTTAAAATATTTATGTAATTGTTAATTAGGTTCATTAAGTTGTGGTACAACAGACTTTAGAAGAAAAGGGAGAAATGACAAAGCTACAGATGTTTGCATAGTTGTTTTGAGGGTGTGTTTCTATTTTGCTGCTGTTTAAGTGTCTGTATTGGAAAGACCAAGAAACAGAACATGAGATGTTGACAGTGCTGTCTGGTTGGCACAAAGCGGTTGGATTGCTCAAACAGTGCCCTTTGTAGAGAGTCAAGCACTAACAGAGTGAGATAATCAGCGTACCTCATCAGGCCTATCTTTGCAATCATAGTGAATTTCAGTTCCACAAATTAACTTACTTTCTTTACTCTCCCCCCTCCCCAACCTTGTTTGTTTGTTTTTAAGTTAGCCTAGACTAGAACTGATTTAATGCGGTCAAAAGGCTTCTAGTAAAATTCTCGTAATGGTTAAATATTTCTTTCTACGGTGTATGGTTTAGGATGAGGCTTTTATCAACTTTCTCATTGCCAAATCAAATGGGATTCTAGCGTGGCAGATGAACTTTTTCATTTTTGTACCTATAAATACGTATTTATAGGTGCTATTTCCATGAAGGATATAGATAACTTCTGATCAGTATATCATCTATTTATAAGTGAATTCTGCTGAAAAACAGTAATGCCTTATAAGTAGTTACCTCATGAAAATTCATTTGAGAGACCTTCGAAATAATTCAAGATCTTCATCTGAGCAGAAAAGCCTTAAGCTGAAGAAAAAGTATATGTATTATGTAAAAGGATACAAGAAACTTGAAAGTAGAGGGAAGGGTAAAAAATAAGACTAATTACCTAACATAAGCATGCTATGAGGTACAGGATGGCGAGTCTCAGGTTTCCTTCTAAGAGTCTGTAAGTAAGCATCAGCATAGCTGATGCTGTGATGTTCCAAGAGATTAATTCAGTATCCACTGAGGTTCCTTCTGACCATTCTATGAAAATGGTGAAGAAAATGATACTTGCATAGATACAAGAAATTTGTAATTTATTTAAGGTTATGTTTTATTAGTTCTTTTAACTCTAACGTTTCTGTTGTTAAATATGAAGTAATTGAAAAATGAATAAAAATTAATTTCTGTTAATAAAATTAACAGAAATAAAAGACTGTTGATTGATGCTTTCATTGTAGTGAACACATTTAATTTGTGAAACTTCTGAGGATCAGATTGAGTTTTGCTGTTTGATGAAATACAGTAACAATTTGAAAGGCTAGCCTGTGCATCCTACCCTTAAGATTTAAAGGTATATTTCAGTTTGTTGTGAAACGAGGTACTGAAAAATTCTGAATCTTTTAGCTGCTTTGAAGGTCTTGAGTTAGAAGGCTAAACTGTAGCTATTTATAAACCTAACTTACTTGCCATAGCTATCCATCTACCCTCCAAACTCAGTGCTAGAGAACTTAGCATGGGTGATACAGCAGAGGCAGAATTTAGTTGATGAGCTGAGAGGAAGCTTTTTAGAAGATAGTCTTGCGTAACTTCCTACTTACCTATGCAAAATGGCTTAAATAAATTTTAATTGCAGGGCATTTTCTCCACCACCACTTAATTAATATAAAAGCAGAAACAGTAATTAGACTTGGAAATTCGAACTACTGTATCACCAACTTAATTTTTCATGATCCATCTCTAAGATGACCTTTCACAGTATGACCTGTAATTCCTCTACATGGATGTTATCTCAGAAAGGAATGCCTTTAATTGACTCTTCCTTAGAATTAGGCCATCGCCTTTCAACACAGAGCCCTCCCTGTGCCTTAGACATACTAGTTTTTGATGCTGCCTTTCAGCCTTAGGATCCAGGGTGATCATGTCCCCGATAATGGACAGGATCTCTATTTTAGCAAAACAGGTTCTCATTATTTCCACTCCGGGGGAGGGAAATTGTCTAATGGGTAATGGACCCACTACGTTGTTATATTCTGCCATTTCAGAGGGGTAGGAGGGACTTTGAAAATGTGCTTTAGATATGCTGGTGATCAAATCTGTTTCAAATAGTAAACTGAAATTATTAATGACTGAGTGTACAAAATGGGCCCATACTTTACTGGGGTGGGGTGTGGGGTGGGATGGTGAAGGGGGAACGTTCCTCTAGGATTTTGCATATCTAAGTTCAACAAACGCTGAATGAATCTAATGCAGTATCAAATGGAATAATCTTAAATGTAACCTGAGAAAACTGTTTTTTAGATGTATTTTACCTAGAAACTACCGCCTTTTTATCCATATTTCAATTTTCTTTTCTGACACAAAATGACAACTGCAGTCCATTAACAAGTTGACAGGATTCTAAATTCATCATAACTTACTCCCTTATTTGATCCAGTATAGGTATAGCAACCTTCTACTACTAGGAGGGATTTGATTAAAATACATAATGAACTGATAGCTACTTTAATGAATTAAACCTCTGATGTGACCACATGCTGAAAACACATTTTTAACTGTGCTCTTCATGTAATACCTGATGGCTATCTGTCATCCACATTTATTTTTTCCAGTTACTGAAGAATTACCAGAACTGGAGAATTGAATGCCCAGAAATAAGTGCAAATTTACAACCATCTTCTGTTCTTGGTCTTTTGCATGCTGGGTATCATGGAGTCCTGAGATCAAGGGACCCACATGGAAGCAAAGTGCTAATATACAGAATTGGTGAGTGACAAAATTGCTTGGACCTGTTTCACACCTGGCTCTGGCACTGATGGGTTTTTTTTGTTGTGTTGTGTTTTTGTTGTTGTTGGTTTTTTTTTTTTTTGATTATCACAATTTGAGCAGCAAAATAAAAGTATTTTTTGGTACAACACCAGGGGTTGATAAAATTAGATGATATCAGAATGTCTTAACTAGAAAGGTAACATATTTATGTTCCCTGTTAGAAATACCTTTATATTAATGTAAATGTGAGTTTAAGCTGTAAAGCTGTATTAAGCTGTATTAAGCTGTAAGAGTTATACCATTTGACTTATATATGGTATGGCTAAAGCTGTACAATCCTTTATGAAGAACTTATTTTCTTTTTAGTAGAATTCTTGTCTGCATCAAAGAAAGTCTTAAGGTTAAAACCCTAAAACTTGCAAGAATATGTGGTTATTTGGGTCTGAGTGTCCCAACAATTATTTGTTTCCATGCAAGTTTTCAAAGCCATGTGCCAAGACTGTGGTATTGGTGCACATGCAGCACAGAGGGGAGAGAAAGAACAGGAAAAAAAGGTGTACACCTAGCCATGTACCAGCATTCAGTTTAGATGTGGATGAGAACTTCACTGGGTTTTCACTGTTTAGATGTAGCCGAAGAGCCCTATCTAACAACACTCTGAAGATCCTTTGCACTCTCAAAAGTCTTTTAAAAAAAGATGTAGTTAAATGATCACGTGTTACCATATTTCTTTGTGCTTGTTTTGGACAGAGAAATTACTTTTCCCAACTTTTAAAGAATTGTTTTAATATCAGCTGGTCTAGTAGAAAATAATGCATCTCTCTGCAAAGTTGTGTTCTCTGAAGCTTTCATCTAGGGTTAAGGCTCATCCCATGTAGTTCTTTGCTCAGGCCTCAGAAAAACTAGTGGCATTCACTGAATCTTGACAGAAATACTGCACTGAAGAAAAATTATATGAATTGATTGCATTGATGATCTGTAGTTTTTGCTAACATGACTGTTACTGAATTAGCTGTTCCTGTCAAAATGTTGTACTGGAGGCTATGGCCATATGTGGAACATACTACATTAGGTGGCGTCTACAACCATCTACCATTAGATAGTTGTGGTACCATCTACAGAAAGAGTTCAAAAGATGAGTGACAGAGCAGGCACACAAAATAACTTCTGTACTGGCAAATCTGTTTATTTCAGGACCTTTGATATTGCATTTTACTTCTTGTTCCCGAGAAGCACATTAGAAGCAGTAATAAGCAAAAGTACATGTGTATGTGGTATCCTCGTGGTAATGCAGTGCAATCTATTTACTCCTCAGCACAATGGGATCCCAAGTTATTTACAGCATACGATGTGTTTCGAGTAAGCCTTATCACGTCTGAACTCATTGTAAAGGAGATTGAGACTCAGCGGAATGGAGTCAAGGCTATCTTTGATCTTCAGGGGTGGCGATTTGCTCATGCATTTCAAATCAGTCCAGCAGTGGCCAAGAAAATTGCTGCTGTACTCACAGTAAGTATGACACACTGCTTTACGCTTCTTCATTGCTATAACTCCCAATTTTTCATCTGTTCTAAGCTATGGTAAATTTTCCTTCCTTAGACCTTTTTAGAGTCTATGCAGCTTGAAAGAACAAAATCTTAAATCCATTAAAAATCAGATAGCTCAGGCATGGGTTGTGCTTGATTTGACTTAAAGCATGTTCTTGTATAGCAGTAAACGTCCTTTAACCTCTGATGTTTTATAAGAACTCCACCGACCTATTACAACACAAGAATTTCATGAATGTAAGAGCAGATGAAGCACAGCTTTGTAAGGATCTGTGTTCGTTATCCCATTTCATCTCCTCACTTCCATTCTTTTGTGCATTAACTCGACATTCAAAGCTTTTTTTCCCTGAAACTCAGAGAAGATGAGAAATAGCGTGTGCTAAGAGTAGTTAAGAGCAAGACAGTACTAACTTGTTACCGGTATGGATGATGCTACATAACCATCCAGCTGCTATCAACAGAATGTATAATACTTATGTTCTGCTTGCTTTTTGCCTCCCAACATGAGCATTATTTTGTGCAACTCACTGCTACCTCACCTCCTATTTTTCACAAAACTTCTAGGGACTTGTTCCTTTCTGTCAAATTTGGTTTGCCAATGGATTTGAGAGAAAAAAAAAAGGAACAAAAGAAAAAAAGAAGAGGACAGAGAATTGACAGGCAAGCTGCAGTGTAGTCCTATAATCCCATTTTTCTTTAGAAGTTAGGCTGAAAATCAGTAATAATAAAACTGTTAGCCTATGATGTGGAAATGAGCAAGGGAGATAATCTCTTGCTCTGATTTGGTAAGGTTCATATCTGAGGTTCAGTCAAAGCTTAGTCATTGAACTAATATCATCAGAACTTCAGCTGTTCTTCCTTTTTGGTATCTACTTTAAAACTTCAGTGAAACCAGCAGGTATTCCCAACTTTTCACATCTAGAATAAGAACTCTTGATGTTCATATGATCCTAGGCCAGATCTCATGAGAACAGGACATGTGAGAGTGTTTCAGTTGATTTCTGAGGTAGTAAACAAGTTTCTAGTAATTTTTTAACCTTGAAATAGAACAGAAAAGAGGTAGAATAGGATTTGCAATTACATCTAAAGGTTTCAGTCCATTATCTCGAACTAGGAAATTCTTTCAATGTGATGTTTCCATCTTGACCTATTTCAGATTTGTTGCATGTTTTTCAAGCTTCTAAATGTTTATTATAACTATTAAAAAAAAGGTAGAAACAATCTGTGTGTTTCCAGAGTTCTTTAAGAAGAGAAACAAGTTTAACTAATTTTTTTTTCAGATTCCTTTCATCACTTTAACTGAGTTCATATATTTCACCCAGAGATTGTCTTAGTGTTGTTCAGTATGGTTATAAGTAGAAATTAAGGAACCTTAGTTTCAACCCTATGTTTTTCTTAAGAAATGTGTTTTGCAAATTACTATCCTGTATGAAGAAACAGAAGTTAATAGAAAGGAAATATGTACTAAGGAATGGAAAGCATAGTAACGTTAGTAAGTGACATCATCTTGAAAAATCTGTTACCCCAGGCAAAACCAAATTGTTTTGTGAAAAACATGATAGTAGACTTTAAGTATATGATAACACATATTAACATGCAGTAAACCTATAATCTGATAGTTTTAAGGTCATTATCATACATTAAAATCTAAAAGGAGTTGCACTTAAAAAATGTGTGGGGTTTGGGGTTTTTTTTATCCATAGAAGAGTGCATGAAATAATGTGAGAAGAGCTACTGTACTAGTGGGGAGAACTGTTTGTGAGAAGTACCATTTTTATGAGCAGAAAACCTCTGGTTGCAGAGGTAGTATCAGTTGGGATATGAATGGAAGCTATACTTTCCCCATTGCATAATGCTGTCTTTGAGCACTGCCATATTTTCTTTTAACTTGCAAAGGTCTGGGACTTCTAAATGAATCTTGAATGCAAGTAGAAGTATTTCATATTATAAAGGCTGTACAGCAGATATAATTTTTATTTTCATTACCGCAGTGACCTTGTTGTGAAGCTGAACTTCTGGCTTGGGCAAATTCCCAGTAATTTCAAGGCCCTAAATTATATTTATAAGGTCTCTAAATTATATTTAAAATTTATTTAACTTAAAGTTAGTAGCTTCAATGGCTTATATATATTTATATTTATATATTATCCTTCAGGCTGTGAATTGCTAGTGAAAGCACATGAGTAGATAGCTTTTTGGTAAATTAGCAGCAGAATCTCTGCTGTGAAGAATTGTACCTCTGAGGAAAGGCTGAGCACAGGTGTACATTACTTATGTGTAATTTGGTGAGGGTTTTCTTGTTTGTTTGTTTTTAATAGCCTCTCCTCATAGTGGTTTTTTTGGGTTTTTTTTTTAGGTTTTTTCCTTCTAATGGGAGGACCAAGATGTGATTTTTTTTAAGCATTGTTGGGCAGTGTAAACTAAGAACACTCCAAAGTGCAGGTATTAGCAAGGTCAGGAGGAATACTCTAACCTATGGACTAGATAGTTTTTACAGATTTGTCCTTAACAATAGAACCTTTTCAATAATATTTTCTTTTTCTTATGCTGTTTTTCATATATGTTGACAGGATTCCTTTCCACTAAAAGTTCGAGGTGTCCACTTGATTAATGAGCCTTTATTCTTCCACCCAGTCTTCGCTCTAATTAAGCCTTTTCTCACTGAAAAAATAAAAGAACGGGTGAGTGCACACAAATATTTCTTTCTGCCACAAAACCCCTATATGACAATCTGCAGCACTTCCCTTAGGATCTGATACTCCTGAGCTCTGAAGAGCGTAAATCATTTTTGTGTGTTAGTGCCATACAGGCCTCCGAAATCTAATTGTAAAGCATTTGCAGTTATCAATAATGTGAGAGTTGCAAGTGGTTGCTGTTATCACCACTCTAAAGATAAAAAACACTGTGACACAGAGAGGTTAAATGATTTGCTTGAGGTCACACAGCAATTCTTCTACAGGACTAGGAAGAAACAGGTCCCAGATGTCCCAACACTCTGCCTATAAATGACAGTGAGAAATTGTCACTGAACAGTGATGTTATGTTCCAAGTTGTGCAGAATTAGTAGAAGACAACTTTTTAGTTCTGAAAGACCTGCAGAGAAATTTATGTGTCAAAAATAGGTCAGACTTAAGTTCAAAATTTCTTTCCAGATAGATTCTTAGTTGTTTTAAATTGTTTTGCAGTTTTAAATCTCAAAACCCTGTTTGTATTTGGATGCAAAAGCATGCCAAGAATTCTGGGAGAATTCTGGTTTTTATAGCATAGGCAGAATATTGGAGGTTTCAGCTGGCAGAAAAGGAAATACTGTGAAGTGTTAACAGCAGGACTAAGGTACAAAATAAGCAGCACTGCCTATCGTTATTCCCACTCTGAAGCCTCCTTGTCTCAGCACATGAATCTTGTGCATCTGCAGTAGCCACTGCACTCCAGGACAGTAGATCCAGATTTTTCTGGTCACTGTTAGCTGTTATTTGCCAGTCCCCTTTTCCTAGCATGTGTGTTTTGTTACGGGAGAGAGGCAGGATTGTTTCTGCCAGCCTTGTGCAGTCAGTCTCTCACTCTGAAAAGATGATAAAAAAGTGAGTATATTCCAGCAGTCTGATGCCATAGCCCTTCTTCTCTCACATTAATACCTGTGAAACAAGCCCCTGTCAGCTGACCCAGCTCAGAATATCTTAGGCTAGAACTCAAAAAGCAGAAAAGAGGGCAGATGGACAGTAAAGGCCTAGAAGAAAACAAACCAGATATCCCAGTTCATGGAATGGAACAGATGCAGATCAGCTTGTCTCCTGGCTTAGAGTTTCAGATATGATGTGAAAAAAACCCCTTAAAGGCCAGATCCCCATACCTTTGTAGGAATAATTACTGTTCACTCATTATCTTACTTCTTGATGAGGAAGTGTTAGATAAAAAGCAGCCAACTACCTTTTGAGTGCATATTCTTGTAGCCTTTGTGTAATAATAATTGCAGAAAATTCTTGTCAAGTGTTAATAAGAGGCTTATAAAAGTTTCTGACCGCAAGTAATGAGCAAGGCTTCAAAATAGCTACAACAAACCAAGAAGAGAAGAACCAAAACTACAGTATTAGAAGGGTTAAAGTGGAGGAGTAGTCCAGGATCTAATTTCAGTTTGAACTGAAACATAAGGATTGAGATACAGATTCTTCTGAATATCCTCCTTGGCACCTGTCTGAACCTACATACATACTACGTAATGTTTTTAGATTCATATGGCAGGACCAGATGGTAATGGCCAGGAGCCAAACACTGTTCCTTTCTTGGAAATGACTGAAAAGCGAGTACGTGATATCTATCATGACCTGACCAAACCCCAGTCTTCCCACGGTTTATCTCGCTTTAGCTGTACGGATATAGTGTGTACCCTTATCAGTGTTGCTAAACCAGTCTGGAAGAAGTGTGTAGTCAGTTTTGGCTCCTGTGCTTGCAGCTGCATAAAATGCAGTTCTCTGGTTGGTTGTAGTCCATGCTTCATCAAGCTGCAGATAATGAGCAGGACAGAGTTTGAGCACCCATGGGAAACTCGCTCACATTCTTCTTCATTTAAGGAGCTCATTATGAACAAGTTCAGTCGAACCAAGCTGGTGGCTTCAGCTCTTGAGCTGAGTTTCTTTGCTGCCTGTTTTCACTCAGTAGTCTAGCATTCATACCCAAGTAAAAGCTTTTCATATTTTGTTTTAGGTGTATATGCATGGAAATAACTACTTGCAGAGTCTGACCGAACACTTTCCGGTCAGCATTCTCCCACAGGAATATGGCGGGAAGGAAGTCTCCATTGAAGAGCTGGCCAAGGAATGGACTGACTTTATAATGGCATCTGCAGATTATCTTCGGAGCATTTCTCTGGTTACCCAGGACTAACCTTACTACAGTATTATATCAATTCTTGAACACTGGAAATGGAAATAAGTTTAATACAAAGTCTTTCATGTAAACTCAAAATTACTGTAAATGAAACCAGTATGTCTTTGAAGGTTACTGAGTATTATATTGACTACACTTTTATACTAACTGGAGTCTATCAGTATGTATGTCTGAAGAGATTAATGAATTCTACATGTTTGCGATACTGTTTGTAATTGATTAACTTCTATGCCAAAAAGCTGAATAATGCATTGGATATCAGAGATCAATACTGCTCCTGTTAAGTCTTTGGAGACAACTTACCCGTAATATTGCAGTCCAGAACCTTATGCTTAGCTCTTGCATCTTGGCTTGTCAAGATGAGAGGATACAAAAAAGAACAGAACGCGAATGGGGTAGACTAGTTTGTTGCGGAAGTATGACTACAGGGCTAATTTACAAGGAGTAAAAAGAGGCTGCTTTTTTGATTGATTCTCAGGGAAAATGGCTGTTTTGTTAGTTTGTATCAAATTGAAATTGGTCAGCAATAGTGAGACATTTGTGTTAATCTTTGTGCTGCCTATGCAGCTTCCCTTTTTGTGCTAAATAACACAGTAATTGTCCAATTTTGTAGAGGAAGATAAGGAAAACACCACGTACCTATTCTTCAAAGGACAGTATGAAGCAGGAGGAGGAACTGGTAAGAGAGTCAGAACAACCTTGAAAACTCTTGATTTTCTTTCTTCAAAGAGATATTATCTATGGACAAGCTATAAGCAATGCAGATTATGACCACCTTTAATTCCTACTGTAGAGCATTACAGAGGTCAAGAGCTCTTAGCTGTTAGCAGTATCTGTTTTGGAGGGTGAAGTAGATTATCCTTTGTGGATCTGAACATTGGAAGTATTTGTTGTGTGACTTAAAGGTGCTTGTAGGTCACTTTGGACCTCAGCATAGGAGGTGCTGGGTATCTTCATTTTATTTTCAGAAAAGTAATTGGCAACTTACCAGTCTATATCTTCTGTTGGGCAGTGGAAGAAATTATTTTTAATTTCTGTGGAGACCTGACCTTTATTTCTGTAGGGGTAATGAAAAAAAAATCTGTCTATACTTACTGAAAACAGAATTTTTTTTTTTTTTTTTTTGTAAGGGACATGATTCAGATATGAACACTGCATGTGTAAAAGCTATCATTAAGCTTTTAAGCTTATATGTGAGCTCGCGTTACATAGCAGTATCATCCTGCAATCCTCAGTATTTAATAATCTAAACCATTATTTTACTTTTCACTCAGCTTTTGGTTAAAAGCTCTGTTAGTACACCAACTTCTAGAGTTCATTTACCCAATTTTTAACTGTTTTGTAATAAGACAGGGGGTCTTTGCATAAGCATTATATATTTAAGCATTCCATATAAATCTTTGTATAAATGAATCCATAACAAATAATTTGTTTCTCAGGTTGCTAGAAATGCTAGAAAGCTAGAAATTCAGTTACTTTGGAATCTTTAGGACATTGGGATGTTATATTAATATATGCTTAGGGGAGAGAAATGAGGCTATCCTGTTAAATCAGAAATGTCTTATTTTAGATTATCATTAGTACTGCATTATTCCAAAAGCCATTGGAAGCTATTCTTTATTAGCAAGAGGAACATCTATGAAAGGCCCATAGAGTACTCTTTGGTTGTAGTTTCTTCTGCTATGGTAAGGTCAATGCCAGATACAAAATTCTTTCAAAACTGATAAGGACTTTTTAAATTTTTTTTTCTTCCAATTCCCTCATTTCCTTAAGTGCATTTTTCATTCTTCTCTTTCCGGGTATCTTTGATATGGAGCCTAAATTTAAAGAAACATTTTTCAGATACATTTTCATATATTCATATATTTCATGTATCTATCTTTTTCTCAGATTGAACTATTTTGTGATATAAAAGCTCCTTAAATAGAGGAGTTCAGTGAAGTGCTAATTCTTCTTTATAAGAAAATAAACTAAGTAGTCAGGCATCTGGCAATTCTTCAAGTGTGTAAAACTCGAGTTCCAAATCATTTACGAACTGGAGAACTGAAGCTATTGTCTTAATTTTATGCTCCTTCAATTTTAATCCTTGAATGTAAAGCGCATAAAGGAATGAATTGCGTTTCAGTGAACAGGAAAATTCAAGCTTTTCCTATGAAACCAATTTCTAATCATTGCTGGTTTATGTAGCAGAGACTTCATTTCATTGCATATGTATATGCACATGGACAAAATTTAGCTGTTTTTTTTTAATCTTCATTTGGACTACACCAGCTCTATGGATAGAAAGTCCTAAACGTCTTCGAAAATATCCTGAATCTGTTATTAAATGGTAACGTGTTTGCATACCACAACAGTTAAAGCATTTTTTCATGAACTGTTAATTATTTTTAGTGTTATATAGAAGGTAGGAACTCACATATGTGAGGGACAATTGCAGTTGCGGCTCATAATAAGGACACAAGATAATTAGGACATTTGCATAATGAATGGAAGAGGTGTTGGTAGGATGGGGGGTGGTGTGGCAGCTTTGAGCTGCAGAATCAACAGAACAAAAAAGTAAAAATCTCCTAAGTGCGTTATTCCTTAAGAATATCAGGAGTGCCTCTAAAAAAAGTAACTTGCTGTTAAATGATGCAAATATAATTTACTACTGACTGTAAGCACAATGTAATGCACGCTGTTTTTTAATTTTTTACGTATTAACATCATTATATTTTTATTAATAAACCTTTTCTGGTTGACCCAGCCCCGTCTGTCACATTTTAGCGATACAAGCCCGCCTTTTCCGGAGGATTGAGAAGGGGCCTCCGCAGGGCCGAGGCCACCTCCTCCCTCCGGGCACAGGCCGAGGGCGGGCGGCC